AATTCCAGTGAAATATATTTATGTTTGTGGTTGTAATGTGACAAAATATGGAAAAGTTCAAGGGGTATGAATACTTTTGCAAACCACTGTACTATATTGCTTTGTTTTTGTCAGGGAACTGGATCTTTGGGGTGAACTAATCTTTGTCGCTATGTGTTTTGGGGTTTGAAAGCCACTGGGACGTCATGTTTAGAGAATAAACGTCTCAGTTTCTCTTAAACTCCCGCCACATATGACGACTGGTTTGAGTCTGGGTTTAGGGTCTTCATTTTCAGCTGGTTGTTGGCTGGATGATGGCAAACTACACTGTAGCCACAGCTGCCCTGGGGCACACTGACAGAAGCAAGGCTGCCATACACAGGCGCCACCGGACCCTCAGACCACCATCAGTAGGCAAGGCTGGTAAGGTGTCTTGCCCAAGGACACAACGACTGAGTCGACTGGACTGGGATCGTACTGGTGACCTTCCAGTTCCAGGACGGTTCCCCTAACCACTCTACTACTGCCGCCCCAGCCGGTTTCTTGTCTGCTTTCAGAAAAGCCCAGTTAGGATAACCACACTGCTCCAGGGCCTGTCTTGTGTGTGACACAATTGTATAGATTTCCATTTGTATGTTTAACCTAACCCAAAACCCAATAATAACGTTCCATGGTATTAGGACTGGATTTGTTGTCTGTAAAGACTGTCAGTCCTGATAAAGTAGATGATTCTACAGGGGAAAAAGTAACAGAAGCCAAGTAAACACGTGCACACACATTCTTTTGCTTGCGTCAAAACTGAGGATTTTGCCTTGACTTCCATTCATTTTTGTGTCATATGTCCTTAACCAAAACATAATTCACACCATACCTCTAAACCTAACTAGTAGAGCTGCAAACAAAAGTGAGGACCAGAAAATGGTCCTCATTTTACACCAAAGACCTCAATTTGATAGTAACGATATTTTGCAAGTGGTCCTCAATCTGTAGCAGAAACAAGTATACACACACACACACACACACCCACACACACACACACTTTTGTACTTCTATCCTCATGAGGACTTTGCATTGACTTCCATTCATTTACCAGTCATTTCTATAGCCTAACTCTGACTCCTTACCCTAAACCTAACCTCACAGGTACCTACCTGATCCTAAGGCCAACTGAAACTCAATTCACACCTTAGTCCTAACCCTAACCCATGACCCACCAATGGTATTTCCCCCAATTGGGACTGGGCTTTTGTCCCCATAAGGAACAGTGGGGTCCTCACTAGGCTGTGTGTACCAGGAAAATGGTAAAAAATAATCCCCACCAGGTATCACACACACACACACACACACACACACACACACAC